AATACAGTCCCGATCGCAGCTTCCCACCCAAAACTCGTTAACTCAACTCGTCCCGCCCTGCCGACTTCATCTGTGGCCATCGGACGGCCATCCTCACACAGTTGAGGATCGCACGTCAAGATGCAGACAACCAGAAACTACCGGGTGGCAGAGGGTGGGCAAAAGGAGCCAGCACGCTCACCAACAACTGATAGATGATAAAGTAAGGTATCAATAATCCTCACACTAACACTTAGGACAAGCAGCAACAACGTCGCACGAAATACACAGGTTCAGAGTAACTAGCTTCGCGGGCGAGCGCGTCACGGTCCTGTTTTTGCACCACTCTACACTCCACAAGCTTCGTGTAGGGTAACATGCAACCCGATTAGTGTATATCATATAGTTGATACACTGCTGAGGGTCTATGACTCGGCTCCAGATCATCAAACACAATTACCGATACTCTAGCAGTGATACTTGATTCCGGAATTGCCTCCCGATAAGTGTATATGATATAGTTGAGACACTGCTGAGGATCTATGACTCGGCTTCAGACTACCAAACACAATTACCGATACTCTAGCAGTGATATTTGATTCCGGAATTGCCTCCCGATAAGTGTATATCATATAGTTGAGACACTGCTGAGGGTCTATGACTCGGCTTCAGACTACCAAACACAACTACCGATACTCTAGCAGTGATACTTGATTCCGGAATTGCAACCCGATTAGTGTATGTCATATAGTTGAGACACTGCTGAGGGTCTATGACTCGGCTCCAGATCACCAAACACAATCACCGATACTCTACAAGTGATACTTGATTCCGGAATTGCAACCCGATTAGTGTATATGATATAGTTGAGACACTGATGAGGATCTATGACTCGGCTCCAGATCATCAAACACAATTACCGATCCTCTACAAGTGATACCTGATTCCGGAATTGCAACCCGATTAGTGTATATGATATAGTTGAGACACCGCTGAGGGTCTATGACTCGGCTACAGACTATCGAACATAATTACCGATACTCTACAAGTGATACTTGACTCCGGAATTGCAACCCGATTAGTGTATATGATATAGTTGAGGTCCTGTTGAGGATCTATGACTCGGCTCCAGATCATCAAACACAATTACCAATACTCTAGCAGTGATACTTGATTCCCGAATTGCAACCCGATAAATGTATATCATATAGTTGAGACACTGCTGAGGATCTATGACTCGGCTCCAGATCATCAAACACAATTACCGATACTCTACAAGTGATACTTGACTCCGGAATTGCAACCCGATTAGTGTATATGATATAGTTGAGGTACTGTTGAGGATCTATGACTCGGCTCCAGATCATCAAACACAATTACCGATACTCTAGCAGTGATACTTGATGAGGGAATTGCCACCCGATAAGTGTATATGATATAGTTGAGACACTGCTGAGGGTCTATGACTCGGCTCCAGATCACCAAACACAATTACCGATACTCTACAAGTGATACTTGACTCCGGAATTGCAACCCGATTAGTGTATATGATATAGTTGAGGTACTGTTGAGGATCTATGACTCGGCTCCAGATCATCAAACACAATTACCGATCCTCTACAAGTGATACTTGATTCCGGAATTGCAACCCGATTAGTGTATATGATATAGTTGAGACACTGCTGAGGGTCTATGACTCGGCTCCAGATCACCAAACACAATTACCGATACTCTACAAGTGATACTTGACTCCGGAATTGCAACCCGATTAGTGTATATGATATAGTTGAGGTACTGTTGAGGATCTATGACTCGGCTCCAGATCATCAAACATAATCACCGATGCTCTAGCACTGATACTTGATTCCGGAATTGCAACCCGATTAGTGTATATGATATAGTTGAGACACTGATGAGGATCTATGACTCGGCTCCAGATCATCAAACACAATCACCGATCCTCTACAAGTGATACTTGACTCCGGAATTGCAACCCGATTAGTGCATATGATATAGTTGAGGTACTGTTGAGGATCTATGACTCGGCTCCAGATCATCAAACACAATTACCGATGCTCTAGCACTGATACTTGATTCCGGAATTGCAACCCGATTAGTGTATATGATATAGTTGAGACACTGATGAGGATCTATGACTCGGCTCCAGATCATCAAACACAATCACCGATCCTCTACAAGTGATACTTGACTCCGGAATTGCAACCCGATTAGTGCATATGATATAGTTGAGGTACTGTTGAGGATCTATGACTCGGCTCCAGATCATCAAACACAATTACCGATACTCTAGCCGTGATACTTGATTCCGGAATTGCCACCCGATAAGTGTATATGATATAGTTGAGACACTGCTGAGGATCTATGACTCGGCTTCAGATTATCAAACACAACTACCGATACTCTAGCAGTGATACTTGACTCCGGAATTGCAACCCGATTAGTGTATATCATATAGTTGAGACACTGCTGAGGGTCTATGACTCAGCTCCAGATCATCAAACACAATTACCGATACTCTACAAGTGATACTTGATTCCGGAATTGCCACCCGATAAGTGTATATGATATAGTTGAGACACTGCTGAGGATCTATGACTCGGCTTCAGATTATCAAACACAACTACCGATACTCTAGCAGTGATACTTGATTCCGGAGTTGCAACCCGATTAGTGTATATCATATAGTTGATACACTGCTGAGGGTCTATGACTCGGCTCCAGATCATCAAACACAATTACCGATACTCTAGCAGTGATACTTGATTCCGGAATTGCCTCCCGATAAGTGTATATGATATAGTTGAGACACTGCTGAGGATCTATGACTCGGCTTCAGACTACCAAACACAATTACCGATACTCTAGCAGTGATACTTGATTCCGGAATTGCCTCCCGATAAATGTATATCATATAGTTGAGACACTGCTGAGGATCTATGACTCGGCTCCAGATCATCAAACACAATTACCGATCTTCTACAAGTGATACTTGACTCCGGAATTGCAACCCGATTAGTGCATATGATATAGTTGAGGTACTGTTGAGGATCTATGACTCGGCTCCAGATCATCAAACACAATTACCGATACTCTAGCAGTGATACTTGATTCCGGAATTGCCACCCGATAAGTGTATATGATATAGTTGAGACACTGCTGAGGATCTATGACTCGGCTTCAGACTACCAAACACAACTACCGATACTCTAGCAGTGATACTTGATTCCGGAATTGCAACCCGATTAGTGTATGTCATATAGTTGAGACACTGCTGAGGGTCTATGACTCGGCTCCAGATCACCAAACACAATTACCGATACTCTACAAGTGATACTTGATTCCGGAATTGCAACCCGATTAGTGTATATGATATAGTTGAGACACTGATGAGGATCTATGACTCTGAACTGCTGAACTGCTGAACTTATGCGAAAGTCAAATAGTAGCTCCGCTCCGCTAAAAATCGACGCATCTTTTGCAAATTTCATCACCACGTCGCGGCACCAACTTCTTGACCCAGGTTACGGTATTCATCCTATGGCCTCTACAGGGAAGGAGGAAGCTCCTCCACTATTCGACGCTTCCCTTTTGGGTCTTGACGATGATATGACGGATGCTGGAGGGTCCAATACTCTGATAATAGAGTCTAATAAGTCCAACAAAGGGAAGGTCAGTAAGGAAACAGCAGCTCCTAAAGAGAAGATGAGTAGTACAGGGGTGTTGACAGCCTCGGGTGTGACACATGTCCACATTTAATCGCTCTAAACTTGCCACCAGTACTCGACACTGTTCTCCGTGAATTGACTTGGACTTTCATCGGATACCGTTGCCATATGGAGAACTCCCATGAACAGGGGAATCTTCTCATACATCTGCGCTCCGGAGTGAGTACTGGAGTTGTGGTAATAGTATTCACGAATAGCAGCAATGGTAGACGTACAGCAGGGATTTCGTATTACATGGAATGCTTTGTTCTACCTTCTATCCAGGTAAACGTAAACGGAAGAGACTGATAGAGCTACAAGAAAGGGCCGCACGAGAGGCCAAGAGGTACGTTCGCTAGTTGATACTGTGCCCTTTGTAAAGAAGTCGTCAACGCAGGTTGGCAGTGCTGGATGAGCTGAAGTCTCATCAGTTGTCCAGTGCCGAGAAGGCCAAGATGCACGCAGTTGCAGACACTGGGGTTCGGCGGAAGCGTCGAGAGGAGAGTAATGTGGCGGGTGGCCCTGGACGTATGCATGTGAATGATGCTAGGTATTGGCCTTGCAAAACTGGAGAAGAAAAAACAGAAGTTGGCGGAGTTAGCAGAGCTCAGTGATGGTGATGTGGAAGGCCCTCGGAGCTCTAAGGAAGTCCGAGGTGTTCCGAAGAAGGCTGTTACGATGACTGCGGAGAGAACGGCGGTAGGTAACTCGGGGCGGGGCGTGGTCCGATTCTTTCGATGACCCTCGTGCGGGTCTCTCAACAATGCTGAGCTACCTGGACAGTGTGTGTTCATTGAATTGCCATGAATTTTAATTGGAGTATGCTATACTTCTAAATGTTATATTATTTCTGCTGAACAGGTGCCGGCAACGGGCAGGCTGAAAGCGGCTCTGGCTCCGGTCAAGTCTAAGAAGGCAGTAGGTCCAACTTTACAGAGGATACATGTATGAAAATAACGGGTGGAAACGTCGAGTAGTGTTGCCAGGTTCATCGGTCGCTCGAAATCGAAAAGCAACGCGCTCATTTGCCTGCGGTACGTCTAGTAGGCTCGTCACCGTTGCTTTGATGGTAAATGCTATAGGTGATGATGGAGACGGAGATAGTCGACTGTGTGATGAACGCTGAGGAGGGCGTGAGTATAGTATGTGGTGACACGGGCTGCGGCAAAAGTAAGCGTGAAATGAAGTGATGGTCGTTGGAGAGTCCCCCCCACAGGTACACAGGTCCCACAGTTCATCTATGAAACTGGCGTGACGAAGCACTATGGTAAACTGATAGGGATGACTCAGCCGAGGAGGGTAGGAGTCCACTAGAGGGAGGGTAGGCGGACGGGACAAGGTCCTTTAGGTGGCGGCGACTTCTGTTGCACGTCGAATTGCAGAGGAGCTTGGCCCAGATCAGGACGGGACAGTGGGGTAGGGCCTTCGAGGGACTTCGATCTGCATGGGCGCCTGTCGTAGGTATCAAGTTCGATATGATAAGTCAATGTCGCCTGATAAGATGCAGTTGAAGGTCATGACTGATGGAATCCTCATGCGGGAGGTAGTATTGGTGGAGCCAGGCGTGGAATCCGACGGCGCCCTATGGATGAAACTCTAGCTAAGACTTAGACTGATAATGTCTCAATACAATGACAATGAACATATCGTACGCTAGTACATAGCTACTCAATAGTAATAGTAGTTTACAGATCCTTGTGAATCTATTTTCAGCTCGACTTGCCACTGCGAAAGTGCTATGTTGGTGAACTCCCAGATACAGACAGATTTCCTCCTTACTAAGTACTGTGTGATCATTATCGATGAAGCTCATGAGAGGTCTATAAACTGCGATATCCT